CTCGCGTTGTGTCCCGGCAAGATGGTAGCAAGGAAGATATCAGTGATGGTTGGGCAGGCAGATTCTCAGCACATCGAGAACTCCCTGTGTTCTGGACTGGCATAACCATTTTTAGGTTATATAGTGATTCCGAGCATTCGGCTGCAGCTTTAAGCGCAGCAGGGGGGCTCAGTCCTCACGAGGGTAACATCCCAGTCAGCTCAGGAGCAGCCGTCACCGTGTCAACCGCATCCAGCACAACACTTGCTGAGACCACGAAAGAGAAGCCATCCGTTTTCGGTAACCCTTGTCAGCTTCAGGGGGGCGATGAACGCCCTCCGTTTACCGTTGGCAACAAACGTGCTCGCAAGCGCCTAGCGCGCGATGCTGTTGGCCCGATGTTTGAATTTGCTTGTTCACCTAATTCCTCAATGGGTAATGTGTTCAAGGATCTCGACATCCCACATGTCCGATTAGCAAAGGAGTACATTGACTTAGAGTCAGCCGTTGCGGATGAGCAGCTCGCTTATCAACTCTCGCAGTGCGTCCGACCCAACTTGTGGGCAGCCATTCCATGTGTCTCAGGATCACCTTGGCAGAGGCTGAACCTCCACAGGTTAGGAAAGCCGTTTAAGAAGAAGTTAGAGGAAAAAGTCAAGCAATCCAAAGTGATGTTTTCAAAGTTTGCATTGCACGCCGAGCATGTTTTGAAGGCTGGCGGGTCAGTCACCTTCGAGTGGCCACGCGACTGCGAGGGATGGCAAAGGCCAGATGTAGCCGAGTTCTTCGAACGCCACAAGGACGTGTTCCATGGTGTTTCGTTCCACGGCTGTGCTGTCGGCTTGACGGATGAAAATGGCTCACCCATCAAGAAGCCTTGGCACATCAAAACTACATCAAAGGCCCTTGCCGAAGCATTCGCCGATCGCCAGTGTCCGCACACAAAGTCCGAAAAACATACTCCAGCGGCAGGGAGCCGAACCTCCCGCACTGCATTCTACCCTGAGCAAATGTGTGGTTTGATCGCCAAAGCATTATATCCCAAAGTTTGTAGGACTCCGGTTCAAGCAATGCCTGTAGTTCCAGTCACTCAGCAGACGGATCATCGTGTTAAGGAACAGTTCCTAAAGCACGAGTCTCCGCTTTCCGGAGCAGATGACTTCACCCTCCTCGTTGAATCAGACTCTAAAGTAAAGGGTATTGTTGAGGAACTCCTTGATGTCCAAAGTCTTCTTGCCAATGCTGTCGACATGCCCGCCAAGGCTGTCGAAACAGAAGCGCATGCAATGGTCACTAAACTCCTGTCCCGTGCTGAGATGCTTGCATCTCCTGAAGCATTGGAAGCGATCAAGCAGGAGGCGACCGGACTCCAAGACGTCGGAGTATGGGATAGTTCAACTGTCCGGGAGAAGGCTGAGGTCGCAGCTCAAGCGCGACAGTCTGGGATCAAGGTGCACTTTGGTCAGCTCATGACGATCGCCAGCATCAAGTTCTATGAACTTGCGAAGCACCTCCAAAAGGTAAAGGGGCGCATCGTGTTCAGGGGAGACTGTGCAAAAGATGAAGCCGGTGCACCCGCGGTGTACCAAGAACTGGGGGCAAACCCCACCTCGGTACAGGGCCTAAGCGCCTGCCTGGCGTATGGGTGCATCCCAGGACACACGGTCACCACCGCTGACGCGGTAAAAGCCTATGTCCAGGCGTTCCTTAGCTCACAGTTTCAGACGTGGATCGAGCTCCCGCCTGAGCTGCGGCCAAAGGAATGGGGTTCCAAGTTCGTGAAACCCGTGGTCTTGTTGATTCGTGCCCTATATGGTCACCCTGACGCAGGAGGTCTGTGGGAGGCACACCTTAAGAAACTGCTCAAGCAGCTGGGAGGAGAAGAAATCCCAGAGTTTCCTGGAAACTTTTTCTTTAAAGGGGTAGGCCTTATGCTCTCGACTTACGTCGATGACTTAACCCTCTCAGGTCCCGCAGATGCACATGAAGCCTTTTGGGCTAAGCTTACAAAAATGATAAATGTAGAGCCTCCCGAGCCGATCTTTCGGGTGCTCGGGCGTAATCATGTCTTTATAGATGGCCCCGCAGAGCCTCAAGAGCATGATCTGAATGCAGCTGTAAGCGCATTAAAGGGTGCCGTTGCATTTGACATGAATGACTATGCCCGTCAAACCGTAGAACTGTTTTGTTCTATAACCGGCACTCAGCCCGAGAAGCTCCGGAAGGTAACTACTCCGTTCTGTCCAGACGGATCACTTCCTCCTGAAGATGATCAGTCAGCTGGTGAGCTAGCCCCAAATGCGTGCAAACTCCTCATGAAGGCCTTATGGCTGGGACGACTAGCACGTCCTGACATCATCAAGCCCATAGGTGACTTAGCAACCGCCGTTCAGAAGTGGTCTCGCAAACATGATAGGCAACTCGCCCGTCTTATCGCGTACATCCACTCGACGACCCACTATCGCTTGGTAGGGGTCATAAAAGATGACCCACAAAATCTTCACCTCGCGTTGTACGCTGATGCCGACTATGCTGGGGAAAGGGATGCGAAGTCCACATCTGGTGGCTTCCTGGTCCTCAAAGGACCAAACACCCATTTCCCCTTAGCATGGCTCAGCAAACGGCAGACATCCGTGTCGAGGTCCACCACCGAAGCTGAGGTCGTTTCGCTCACATTCTCCTTGTATCAAGAGGGCCTTCCCTCCTTGACCTTGTGGGAACGTTTGCTAGGACGCCCAGTCGAGCTGGTGCTGCACGAAGATAACCAAGCCACTATCCTCGTTGCCAAGAAAGGTTACTCTCCGAAAATGCGGCACATACAGCGCACTCATAAAGTGAACTTGTCCGCACTTGCTGAGCAACTTGAACCCGGCACGGGTGTAGTAATCAAGTATGTAGCTACCGATCTCCAGGCAGCTGATATCTTTACGAAGGCACTGCAGCCCTTGAAGTGGGACCACGCACTAAAGCTTTTAGGCATCAGAACCAATTTGCCTGAAAAGCTGAAAGATATCCGGCCTGAGATGACCAAACATTAACAAAAGTGCAGAAATCAAAGGTAAGCCCTCTTTATGGTCTGGTAAAGGACCTTGCATCACATGGGTCGCAGCTCAAGCGCGACTGTAAAGTACAAGTCTCTTAGTGAGCACGGGGAGGGGGGAGTTGAATAATCACGACCCCTTGACCCCCAAAGAGGTACCCCAGAAGGGTGTGCATGCATGTGATGTTAGAGGCCCCATTGACTGCATGTGTTTCAAGTGACATGTCGAATGGCAATGACCATTTGGCTCAAGATGCCCATAAGATCAAAACCAGGGTTTGCGCTCGCCTACCGGACTGGGGTTAATAAGGGTCCCGGTTTCTGGTTCGCTGTGTTTCTTTCCCTGTTGAGTAGAATATCTCATATTTAAGTGTACCCTCAGTAGAGCAGGAACGAAACGGTGGAGGGCATGTAGTGAACTTGAAATGAGATCAATACAACTGTCAACGTGGTGCCAGGCCCATGAATAGAAGCGGCTCTCGGTATGAAGATGCTCATTCTCTCTTCCAAGTCACGCCGACAGTTGCATCTTAGTGGGACTGACATTAAGCCATCGACGCTGGATAAGTTGATCGAATTGTTGGGCGGATATGCGTCACTTGCTTGGAAACGATTCACATAATTTGGTGAAGTCTCGGCCTGATTGCTGACGCAAACCCCACTTTGTTGCATTTTGCTTGGATGTTAGGACTTCAACTTTTTGCCAACTAATAGGTTTCCATTAAACTGCTAAAATATATTCACTTTTAGCAGGGGAGCAGAAAGCAACCGAGCCGAAGCGCAGAGAGAGAGAGAGAGAGAGAGATAGTCAACAAAGCCACCAGCGCATTTCTTCGCATGGTTTATGGCTCACCTGGCCATGGGTCAAAACCAATGGGATCCCATTTTGGGGTAGGTGCACCACTCATTTTAGTCTATTTTAGTGGGGATTGGGATGTTCACTGGGGGTACGGGATTTTGACCCATGGCTCACCTGCGGGTAAAACGAGCTCTCCATGATAAAGATGCATGACTGGTTTCAGGTCTTGGCACTGTTGCAAACATTGGAAGTATTTTTGTCAGAATGGCCTCTCATGGGGGGGGGGGGGTTTTGGACACACCGGGGTTTAGTAATCCTCACTTGTGGGGTTGAAATTGGTGCATTGTATGAGTTTCAAAAAGCCACCCCCCATGAGGGGACGCTCTCTATTTTTTCTGGGTTGCGGTATGTTAAGTGTCGCCTTGATTTGTTAAGGTCCACGTTTAGCTTGATCCTCAGATTCAGCGGCGCAGAGACGCAGCCCCTTCTGAAGGTTCCCCGGAGGAATGAAGCCCGCAAGCTCGCAAGAAGAAAATGTCCAGCATTTCCCCACCAACAAGTCGGCTGGTTGTTAGGGGACCCATCGCACGCGCAATAAGCAACATTGTATGATTTGATCGTGAACAGCACGTGAATCTTTGCTGTTCAAACCCCTTACTCAGAAATATGCAGTGTCTTTTCGTGTTGTAAATTGTGAAACAAGTCCTTGGCTTAGAAGGGCATCCTGGAGCGCTGTTTTGCCTTTGGTGACCCGTGAGACAATTGTGTATGTATCAAAATTTGGGACCCCTGTCTTGAATCAATTGTCCTTTTTGTCTCCTCTAAAACAGCCTTTCGAATGGTACCCTGAAACCATACTCGCCCCAAATGAGCAGAGTTGTTCTTGCAATGTCTTCGCTTAGTGTTTGGCAGAACTCTCTTTCTGCCGCGCAGGCGCCACGTGGGGGAAAATTCTGGGGGGAAAGCACTCGTAGGCGCTTGATGGCGCTTGCCAATTTACAGGGCTCAGACATCCCAAAAAAGACTCTACTCAAATGGGTTTGTTTCTAAAATTGGGCCCCCAAAATGTGTGGTTGTCCTTTTGGAATCACTGTAAAACCACCAAATGTTCAGATGCCATCTTGAATGATGGCAGGTTCCCTCAAGAAACGACACCCCAATAGGGGCCTTTCCAACTCGCAGGCGGAAGCTCGTCCTTGGACATCACCCGAATCGACCTGAAGCCCTTCGACCACTGGGTGAAGCCGCCCGCAGGCCGGCAACGGGGCGGGCGGCCTGCTTGGGGGGAGTTGTTTGGGGGTAGTTGAAAAGTTGCAACCATCAGCTTTGGCTACCTCATGTTTACCGCTGATTCCAAACATGTTCGACAAACATCCAACTCATTTTCCAAACGACTTCACCTCACGTTGGCTCCATGTTTGATTTTGAGGTTGCCAAACACCCTGATTTGAGACCTGAAGGTGATCAGCGGATGATGTCCATGAGATACCTATCGAAGGAGCGAGCTACTTGGCTAAGATGGTAAGCTTCGGAATGCATGGATCATGGCAGTTGCCAGAGGGGAACCTGCGCAATGGGTGGTTTGATTCCTCCCTTTCAAACGCCCCCTGCGGCTATCAAAAAGACGCCCCCATGAGCAACAGCTCCTTCCAGTGTTTCCTCAAACTAGTAATCGTTCTACTTCGAAAGGCTTCGTGCGCTAGCCCAGGCTTTGCAGTCTGGCGAGGATGACATGCTCGGCAGTGAGATGCCCTTGGATGGCTCAAGAAGCATCCTGGCATTGTGGGTGTCATGTTCTACCCTCGCTCCAATGGAATTGGTTGTGTTTGGCTAGTGGACTCTATTTAGGCGCCAGCCGTTTGAGTTAGGAAACACCCATACAGGGTTCCCATTAGTTCTCCTTCTGCGGATAGAAACATGTGTTGATGCCAATTGGAGATGAGCTGCCTTGGTTCATTCTTTTGCGGGATGATGCTTTTTGTTCAGTGGAAAGGCAGTTAAAACTCACCTGGAAGCAGAGTTCCATTCATGACAGGAGGCTTTTGGGAGACTCTTGTTTATTTTACGTTTTTTGGGGAAGCCCCCCGTCCACTTCCATGATTGTTGGCAAGAGGGTACTTTCAGATGCTGCACCTCACTTGGCTTGCGTGAGACATGTCCGGGATGCTTTGGCCTACATCGTGGCTGGTATCATTGTGGAAATCAGTTGCCGCGGGTATTTGAGTATTCAGTGCACAGTCAGAAGCCGTTGTGGAAAACCTGGCAGATGTGTCGTGGGGCTGGATTTCATTTTTGGCGTTTTGATGCATCCAGCGCTCGCTTTCGACATGGGCTGGCTGGTATCCACCTGAGGCATGATTCACCCAGGGGGGAGCTTTCGCCTGGTTTGGAATGTGCTGGTTGCGCTTTGCTTGGTGCATGACTTGGTGGTGATCCCTCTTTACGTCTTCGAGATCCCCGACTCCTTCATTCTGATTTTCTTGGAGTGGTGTACTCAGCTCTTTTGGAACTTCGACATCATTTTGTCCACCAGCAACTCGGCATGAAAGTTAATGTTAACCCCGGATCAATAAACCCCTGGTTGATTAATAGGGGGGTGTCCCCTTTTAGTGCGGATTCATCACTTTCGGAGGGAACCCCCCCTAGTGGGACGGGTTTATTCATCCTGGGTCAACATGAGATTCAATGTCTTGCTTGCTTTGCGTTCCGGCTGCAAAAGCCCGCTGTGAAGTCTCTGTGAGGAACTGGCTACTACAACAAGGGCCTCCTTATCATGAATCCGCGCAAGGTGATAAAGCATCACTGTCAGACCGAGCCAACCTTTTGAACCTTTCCTTTTATGTGTTTATCTTTCTTCTTTCATTCCCCTTTTATCATATCTTGTTTGGAGTTGTTTCTTTTCGCTTCGTCAAGGTATCTTTTGCGAGTCGGTTCCTTTATTGTTCTTATTTATGTGTTTTTAGGTACGGTATATATAAACCCCTGTATTAAACAAACAAGTTAAACACAAACCAATGGTTTTGGCCTTTTGGGAGTCGGTTCTTTTCGTTAGGCATTATGTGAAAACCTGGCTCATCTTGGATGTGACACTGGTGTCTTTGGATTGGGTCTTCGTGGTCATGGAGGCCTCTGGTGTGGCGCGACGGCAGCGAGCAACAAACAACAAATTCGCCGGTCGACGTGACAAACACCTTGGGGGGGGGACCCCTTTTTGGAATGGTTTGTGATTAGCCATGTGTTGCAAGTGTCATCCGGGACGTTGCGTTATTTCATCGTCGGCTCAGGCCGCGGGTATCCATTTCTCTTTTACTTGGTTTGTTACTTTCCTGTTGTTGTGGTTTGCTGGTACGTTGGAAACCCCTGGGATTTTGGGACTGGGGCTTGGTTGGTTCGGGGTCTTGTTTCGTGGCTTGTTTGCCCCCAAAGCTGGGCGCAAGGCTCGCGCCCGAATCACAGGGTTGTTTTTTGTTTGTACCTGGAAGTTTGCAACCTAGATGTCTACGAATCACTTTTGTTAGGTGGCTCCCTTTGACAAACACGTCTAGCCATTTGTTTTGGGTTGGCCGTTTTGCGAAGCGAAAGATAGGACGCGTGTAGGCAAATATCAAGCATTCAATGGGACAGATTAGTAATGATTTTCAACAATGACTCATGTCCAAACATGAGTCAGGCATCGAGCTGTGATTGTGAAATTCCTCACATGCCTTTGTGCAGGTGCAAGGAACCAATGTCCCAAAATGCGTCCAGATGTTTTGAGACGCACTCCTGATCTAATCTCCAACTCGGCGTCTTGCTTGGGCAGTGTCAAAAGTGCTATCTGGGAGAAGCACAGAACTCAGCAGGCATGGCATCACTAGCTCGTCAACTGTTGGTCGAGCTGTCTCTGGCAGCACTAAGTGTTGACGAGGAAGTACATGCTAGTTGTACGGTGGGCGCTAAATATTGCAAGTAGCCCCAAAACTACCGCAATCTACGGTTGATGGTGGTTGTCTTGCAAAAACACGGGCATCCACTGTACCTGGGATTCCCAACAAATTCGTATGGTGTGAGTCCCACAACGTCCCAGCCCTGAAATGGGTGGCGTGATCCCCAAAACCGGTCTCAAAGAGCAAGACCCAATGTTTGCTTGGAGGAAACAACCAAAAGGAGTTTGCTTCAATAGGAACCTGGAACAACCGCCCCAATCCACCAGAAAGCAAACCACCATTCTGGCGGTAATGTTCAAGCGGATAACATGAGACCCCCTGCTAAAGAAGTTGCTGGAGGAATTTTAACGAGCTTACCCACCAAGAAGGTCCCGTACTGGGGGCTTTCTTATTTCCAGTCTGGGAAGTGGAGTAATTTGCGCAAATGTTCCACAAAGGGTTAACAAGCAACAGACCCTCAATGATAAGTGCTGAAACCATGGTTTCAACGGGGTTGACTCTGTTTCCTTGGGCTTCGCCCAAACAGATGATTTTCTTCTTCCCTGCAGAACAGCCACCGGGCAGATCCCCTTAAAACAGCCGGTAAAGATGGTTTTCAATATAGCCAACATGTATTCTTTAGGGAGCCATCTGAAAATGGGAGGGGGCTGGTTGTCTCTATCGTGTCATCCGTTTTTGTGGATGCAGTACTTGTTTGCTTGCAGCTGCGCTTCAGCAGCTCCATGCCCTGAGGCCCCTGAGGTGTTTGGGGCTTCCATCGAAACTCCATGTGCTCAACTTTTCGCAAGGGATCTGAGAACGGACAGCAGCGTATGTCGCCATGTGAATATGAGCCACGTGCTCAAAACCCGGGTAGGCGAAGGTTAGGGACAATCACCACAAATAGCTTCGGATATCCGCCTTCCTGTTCTTCTTCACACGGGATCGGCCATTTTGACAGGTTTTGATATTTTGACTCGCCTGTTGGTCGCCCCGTCTGAGATTACGACCATTTTACTGTCGGGTTTTGACCTTTAGGTTTTTAGGGTCTAGTGGGAGCTTCCATGGGATCTGAAAAACGGACAGCCCAGCTGAAGCAGCCCTCTGAACACGGGCACGGGCTGGGGGGCTTCGGGGGGCTTCGGGGGGCTTCGGCTTTGTGATCCGATCGTCCGAGATGACGGTGACCTCAGTGGCCCAGCTCTCACGCACAATCCGCTTCCTGCGGTTCCTGCGGTTGGTTCGCATCCTGCGCTGGGTGAAGTTGAGACTCGATCGAGCGAAGAAACGAGCTGTTTTGGGGGCCTTCGAAATCAAGCCGCCGAAAACTTGAAAAACAAAAACATGCCAACAGCAGGCAGTGAAGGGATGTAAACACGGCAATGCACCGATTTGGAACGGCAGCCATACCAATGTCCAATGCAATATGTTCTAGGTTCATGGAGTGATGTATCCTGGGGGCCGTTCATCTGGCTGTATCTTTTTTGGGACCCCCCACAACCAAAAAACATATCCTCCTCAGAGATCTAACAAACAAGTTTTGTGCGGTCTCCGAAATGTCTTCTTTTAGACCCCCCCAACAAAAAAGTATCCTACAAGAATCACTGGATTTCTCCAAACCAAGAGTTGATCAACTTACTGGTAGTTGCCATTACGATCGTCACTGTTGGTGGTTTCAAAGTTGCTAAAGAAGGACACCCTGTCCTAAAGTCGGTTATATGGATGTGTCGTTTTTTAGACCCCCTCGAAAAACGTGCTTTGGTGTTCATTTGTGTTCCCTTTAAGCCGAACACAGGGGGGCCCTTCAAAGAAAGACAGACCCATACATCGTAAGGTTGAAGCATGAAACACCGTCTGGTGTTTAGTCTGTGTAGCTTTCAAAGGAGCGCCTTTTTGTTGGACACCTTTTCGCCTCCAGCCCTCTCAAATGGACTCTCAAATGGCCATCCCAAGGTCAAAGGTCACCATTTGGCCATGCGGAACAACATTTGTTTCTGCTCGCTTTTGGAATCCAATGGAACCTGGAACCTGGGCTGACGAACAATTGACCAGTTTCCTTCGCAGTTTTGGGGTCGCTCGCCTCCTGGGTTTCTCTACCCGAGGAGACGCATGGCGGAGATGTTCCAAGAACTGATCCAGAACCAGGCTGCTTCAATGCCCCTGGACTGAATCTGAACCCACCGGGGGTCCGCTTCAGAATATAATATGCATATACATAACCATATAATATATACATATACATATGTATATATGGTCAGCCGCCCCCCATGATCCAGACCTAGAATGTGGTATGCAATAAAACACTGTAGACCACAGTGTTCTCGCAAAAAAAAAGTGCATATGTTGAGGCTCATCAACTTCTGATAAGATTTCGAAGAAGGCAAAATTGCTGTCGCAGTGTCTCAGAAAACAGATGATTTGCCTTTTGCTCGGAAGCAGATGATTTGCTTTTTTTGTTCTGTCTCAGGAAGTAATTGCTTTGCATTGTTTGTCAGACCGTCAATGCAGATGATTCGCAGGAGCTTGCGCGATCGGGAGCAGAAAATGCTGAGAGGATGCCTAAAAATCCTAGCTGGGGGGCGGAAAGTGCTGAGAGGGTACCTAAAAAGCCTAGAGCAGAAAGTGCTGAGAGGGTGCCAAAAAAACCTCAGGGGCTCTTGGGCTGGCCGCGGTACCCTCCCAGCATCTTGTGCTTCTACGGGCAGAGAGTGTCGAGAGGGTACCTAAAGCCTAGCCTCTTCTCCTCAGCTAGGTTTTGAAGCACTTTCTATCAAAACAATTTCTATGACTAAGGTTGCAGTTCTACACAACGCTTTCCATGAGTTAAGTTGCAGTTCCACACAACACTTTCTGCAAACCCATAAAGAAGTTTCTATGGTTTAGGTTTCAATTCTATGACGAACTTTCTATGTTTTTGGTTGCAGTTCTATGAAGAGCTTTCTATGCTTTAGGTTGCAACTCTATATAAGGCACTTTCTATGAGTTTTTGCATGAAGAACTTTGAATGATTTAGGTGCAGTTCTACACAGCAATTTCTATGATTCAGGTTGCAGTTCTATAAAACACTTTCTATTGTTCACGCTGCAATTCTATCAAGCACTTTCTATGATGCAGGTAGGCTTAAATACAACTTCATTTTTTGATAGAAATGGGTTGCAACTCTATGAACATATTTCTATGATTTAGGTTGCCATTCTATAAATCAAATTCTATGATTCCAGTTGCAGCTCTATAACACACTTTCTATGATCCAGGCCGCAACTCTACAAAGAGCTTTCTATGCTTTAGGTTGAAACTCTCTAAAGCGCTTTCCATGGTGTAGCTCGAAATTCTATAATCAATTTCTACTACTTAGGTTGCAGTTCTAGAAGACACTTTCTATGATTTAGGTTGCAGTTTACTTCGTGTGCTACTTGCGTGTCGAAAAGTTGCGACTTTCAAGCTGGAGCTGCGGAAGTCTTCTTCGTGTACTACTGTGTCGTATGTGAAAGTTGCGACTTTCAAGCTGGGGCTGCGGAACTTACCTTTTTGTACTACTCTTGTATTGAAATCAATTTGTTGGCTTTCGAGGCTGCGGAAGGTTACTTTTCAATTGCTACTTTCGTGTTGAAAGCTGCGACGCTGCGAAAGCGCGCTCCGTGTACTACTTTTGTCATGAACGTTCTACAAAACAGCCCCGCAAAAGTTCTGCGACGGGGCCCCCCCAAAATTATATTTGTTTTCTCGCGAAGATAGCGGTTTCCGGAACAAGGAGTTTCAGACAACCGTCTAAAGCACTTCCTATGATTTAGGTTCTGAAAAAACACTTTCTATGATTTAGGTCTCAGTTCTATGAAGAGCTTTCTACGATTTAGGTTGCACCCTCATAAAGCAATTTCTTTGATTCACGTTGCAGTTGTATAAACACTTTCTATGATCCAGCTTGCAGTTCTATGTAGGACTTTCTGTAATTTAGGTTGCAACTCCATAAAACAATTTCCACGATGCAAGTAGCAACTGTATGAAGCATTTTCTATGATTGACGTCTTTCTTCTATGGTATAGGTCGCAAATCTATAAAGAAGTGTCTGTGACTTAGGTCGCAGTTCTATAAAGCGTGTTCTATGATTTAGGTTGGAGTTCTATGAAGGACTTTCAATTATTTAGGTTGCGGGAACCATGGTGGGCCTGGACGGCTTTGAGGACGGTCTTTTTTTTGATAGGGGAGTTGGAAGTTCGTTGTATCCACGACCATATGGTGGACACAACGAAGCAAACGGCCCAATTTGTGCATATATGGGAGGCTATGTAGGCTCTCTGCAGGTGCGGAAACTGGTTGTGTGGGTCTCCAGTGGAGCATCTAGGGAATCATGTTAGTCATTTGAGGGCTGTGAGGAAAGTGTTTTCTCTCCATTGAGGATTGAGGAGGTGGAAGTTCATTGTATCCACAACATGGTCGTGGATACAACAAAGCAAATGGCGTAATGTGCATATTGGGGCTATGTTGGCTCTCTGCAGCTGGGGCTCCAAAATCGCAATTTTTAAATACGAAAGTAGTACGTGAAGTCCACTTCCGCAGCTGGGGCACGAAAATCGCAACTTTTAAGTGCGAAAGAAAAAAGAGAGATAGATAGATAGACAGACAGATAGATAGATAGATAGATAGAGAGAGAGAGAGAGAGATAGATAGAGAGATACATGGATAGATAGATAGATAGATAAAAGGAAAAGAGGCGGGTAGATGGATAAATAGATAGATAGAAAGAGAGAGAGAGATAGATAGATCGATAGATAGATAGGTAGATAGATAGAGAGAGAGAGAGATAGATAGAGAGATACATAGATAGATAGATAGACAGACAGACAGATGGATAGATAGATAGAGAGAGAGAGATAGATAGATAGATAAATAGATGGAAAGAGAGACAGAGAGATAGATAGATAAATAGGTAGATAGATAGAGAAATAGATAGATAGATAGATAGACAGATGGATAGATAGATAGATAGATGGACAGATACAAAGATAGGTATATATATAGATAGATAGATAGATAGATAGATAGAGATAGATAGGTAGATACATGGATACATAAGAAGAGAGACGGGTAGATAGATAGATAGATAACACGAGAGATAGATAGATAGAGAGATAGATAGATAGAGAGATAGATAGATAGATAAACAGATAGATAGACAGAGAAGAGACAAAAGAAAGAACAGCACAAAAACAAGCAATCGAAGCAAAGAAAGAAAAAACAGACAGAAAGAAGGAAAGAAGGGAGGAAGGAAGGAAAGAAAGGAAGAATGACGGAGAAAAAAGAAACAATGAAAAGGAAGAAGAAGAGAAAAAGAGTCAAGAAAAGAAAGAGAAAGAGAACTATAGTTTTATAGTTTTGAAACTTCCGCCCACCGGCTTCGCCGGCTCTACTGGTACTGTATTTGATTGTTTGTGTGGTTGGGTGCGTGGTTGTTCGCTTGTGCATGGCTGTTTGTGTGTGTGTGTTTGTATTTGTGTTGTGCGTGTGTGTGTGGGCAAGGTCTGAAAACAAAGGCCAGCGTCATATTTGCTCTGGTGACCATGAGCCTGCAGGGGGCAGTGTCACCCACAACAGCACCTTTGCTAGCAAAGCCGCCTGATGTGCGGTGGGGATATATGTGGCCTGATCGACTGCACGTACCAGGTATTACCAGCATATTATTTCGACACCCGGCTTGATGACAAAAAGGACCGCTACTTCAAGGTGCTCTCCCAGTGTGTGTTTGCGTGGTCGGGTCGCAGTGTCTTTGTCTGCCTGCATAATTGTGTGGTTGCGTGCTTTTGTTTGCGTGTCTTGTGGTTGTGTGTTTGGGATGTGTGGTTGTTTGGTTGCGTGCGTGTGGGTTGGTCTTTTTCTTTCTCGTGCGTTTGCGTTGTAGCAGCCACCCTGGCACGAAGATAGATTTCGGCGAGAGGAAGGTACCTTCAACGCATTAACTTGTGTGCGACATTAGATATTAGATAAATAGACGGGTGACATGTTTGTTATGTGTGTGCGCGTCAAAGCGTTTTTTCTCAACGTAACGACAGCATCATTCACAATCAGCCAACCAGACGCTGCAACACTCAGCCCAAAGCAGCTAGCTTGCACATTAGCAGGATAAATCCCCTACAGCCAAAACGTACAAAACTCTACATTCCCCGCAGCTTTAAATTCTTCATCACACCCCATGACCCAAAGCCCCGACACCTGGCGACAAAGGTATACAAAGGTGAGGCACGCGGGCGACGGCCTTTCAAGAAGCACCCTCAACCCCGGCGGCCAAAACCTACCTTTGGACACTTTGCTTACTTCCCAAACTGGGACATTCTGCGAAGTCAGCAGGCAAGGGGTGACACCTTAGCACGCAGTCAGCAACTCAAACACGAATGCTTACAGATGGTTTGGTCAGAGTTGAATGTGAGACTTCAAAAGGAACATGCTAGCGCAAGTGCTTTGCCAGCTGCTTCACACTATTTGTAACCTGGCTTTCCTGAACTCCTGGGCTCATGTCAACAATCAGGCGGTGTAGGGTTGTTGGTTAAGGGGTTGGCTTGAGGTTAGCCATGTTGGCCTGAAGTGTGCTCGAGCAGTTGCTGCATCATGGCCTTGATGAGCCTAGTCGTAAGTGTCCGGCGCTTTTCCACTTGTTTTTTCCTCAAGGAGTCTTTCCTGAAGTCTGCCTAAACTACCGCTTCCTTCCATCCTCCATCGTGTGTTCCCAAGGCAGGGATCAGATCCTATGCCCGGCTCAGGAATTCCTTTGTCTTCAAAGACTTCACAAGTGACACAAGCAACACAGCACGACTTCGCACAAATCAAAGCTGGTCCTGCTGAAGATGCTCAAACTTAGGAGGCTGGATCTTAAGACGGCTGGCCTCGCCTGAATGGATTCCAAAGCCCCTCCTAAACTAGCACACCTACGACAAATCAGCTGCAAGCAAATCCCAAGCCCACCAAAGTCAGCCTTCATCCCCCCCAACAGCATCCTGGATGTCAGCCCTTTGCTGAGCCTGAATGAGCCAAACCAAGCCAATACCCAGCCGCCGGATCTAAGCCAGCCTAAAACTACTCATACTGAAAGCAGCCGTGAGCAACCCCCACCTAGCCAATCAGAGCCACCTAGGCCCTGGGTCCAAGTGATGCTGGTGATGCTGAA